CAAATAAATAAGTGTATTGGATTCCCCCTATCTTTTTTTAGTTGCCTCAGTGTTTGCATGTTTGTGTTTTTTCATTCATCAAAGGGCAGACTACAGCAGGGTTATTAATGTAAGTCACATTTAAGAGTCAGCGGATGTCACTGCACACATGGAGCTGAGCTCAGAGAGAGGGCTTCATGAAGCAGAATGAACGCACACATGCACACTATATGTGTGTGTGTGTTTGTGTGCGCAGAGATATGTGCGATGGGCCAAAGCTGCTGTTTCATTGCAGATCCATTACTCCTTTACCGCTGGGAAACTGGAAGCTTTTTAGAAGACAAATTATTTAGATTTCTGTTTCTGATTTTCTCAATGATTTTTTTTTTAACTCTTTGATATGAAAATTGAAACTACTTGGAATCGTTTTAATCACAGTGATCGAAAACAAATGTGTTTCTTTTGAACAGATTTCCGAAGAGCATGAATAATTTTAAGAATCATGATGCAAATATTCAGTACTTAGAATGCAATAAATCATAAATTTTTTTGTTTGTTTTCAGGCTTCATTTTGTTGTGACTTCAAGTGAAGTTATCAAACTTGTCCATACTCTGATACTTTTTAGATACCACATGTTTTAATGCCATGCCATCTGTGTTATTCTAATGCTCAAAAGTATCAGAAAAAGAGCAGAAACTTTGGAAAGCTAAATCTGTTGCAAGACAGATGTGTCAAAAATTGCAGACAAACTCCTTCACACTGCCTAATTGCACAGATGCAACGGCAAAGTTTATGGTACAGACAGTGTGCAGGAGTGTGCCTGCAATTGTCGATCATTGAGAAGAAGAAATGACCCAATATCAAGTGTAGAGAACTTGTATTTTTGTTGCCATGGTATCCAAAGAGATATTCCTTGATTTTTTTAATAGCATCATATCAAAGTGTAAAATTCGGATATTGTGACAACCTACAGAGACTGATGTTTTGTGGGTTGTTGTGCATGTTTCAGTGTGTTTGCATGAGGCAGGAGGACAGCACTAATTGGGGGGAAAACATATAATTGAACATTTTGTGGCGAGTATTTGGTCCATAACTGCTCCAGAGTGGTTAGCAATGAATACACCCTTTGAAACAGGTCAAGATGTTCACAGAGTAATGCGCCCACAGATGCTTAGCTTTTTAAAAAAAAAATCCTTTCCCTCTGTTTCTCCCCTCTTTTCCATCCATGCAATTTTAATCAGTGTCAAGTCGATCCCTCATTACTCCCTCTTCTTCCTGCCCTCTGCGGTTGTGAGGGCTGGTGAGTGATGTTGCGTGTGTTGGGCTAATATGACTATAAAAGGTTGGGGCCACAGAGCCTTAAAGCTAATCCGGGTGCAGAGCCTCTTTTATTAGCCCTGCCTGTGTCTGTCTGTCTGTCTTTGTGTTTGTGTGAGTGTGAGACAAAGATAGAGGCGAAAGGAACACACACACACACACACACACACAGGGTGAGGATGTAACACACCAAAGATGACTGAACCCACATTACACCCTCTCATCTTTGACTGTCACTTCTCATTCATTAGAAACACATCAATAACTAAACTTATACATGGCAGCTAAGCATATAGGAGCCACTTTAGAAAGGTCTGTGTGTGTGTGTGTGTCCACTGAAGTGGTCTGTGTGGTCCCTTTTTCATAGTGTCAAAAGAAACAAATGACCTCACTCTCCCTTTGGACACACACACAGACCATCTGTGTGACCAAGAATGGTCAGAATCACAGCTGCCAGGTGGTTCTGTTCTCTAAGGACTTCAAAAATATCCTAGTCCATTTTTATTTCCAATATACAAAAATACACAAAAAAAGGAATTGTTAGTTAATTTTTTCTGCTTACACTTTGGTATTGTATTACCAAAAAAGCTAAGATCAGTGACGATACCTTCACATCGGTCTAAATGTAGATACAATGAGTCAGCGTCATGGGAAAAAGACAAGAGATACAGTAACGTCCTATGCACACTTCCAAATCTGTCACTGTCCTGCCTCTGCCTGCTGATAAGAATGACTCTGGTTTAAATATCACATGCTGCCACAATGTATTGCCCTGACTGTTGGTGACCAAGACTATGAGTTAAGGGATTCAGCTAAAACCTTAAATAATTAAGAACATTTATGTGATTCCAAAAAGTATACAAAGGTATGTAACATCTGTATGTTACACATGTTCACACATATCAATCATGGTCAAAAACATTTCTAAATTTAGCTGATTTATTAAAAGCCAAAATGGTACCAAAAGGAAGAGCTGTTTGGAAGTCCAAAGTGCCGACTCTTACTGAGTACTGAGCTGAGCCTAATGATCCGGATCACTAAAAAGAACTACATTTCCCATCATGAGAGCCCCAGTTGGGCCTCCCCAAAAGTCTTCCTCCACATACATAATATTCATCATTGATGTGATTACAAATATGTACGCATGTGCAAAATGTACTTTGAAACTTTGCAATACACATCCAGGTATTTAGCAAAAAATCATTGGATAGATTTGAACTATTTTTGGTCCAATTTTATTTTATTTTGCGGTAGACTAGATCCAGCTTGTGTTCCTGTTCCGTGACAAGTTGCCTAGCAAAAGCAACACTTGGTTATAAACAAGGGGTTGGAAAATGTTAAAGTTTTTCTTCTTGAATACTTTTTATATTTGATGTAACTGTCACATGTAATTCTGTCACAGAATTGTTACATTACAGAAAAAGTGCATGTTGAGCCATGCTGAAAAGCAGGGTTGCTATAATATTCCAGCGCAGCAGTTAAACATGAGTTCTTAATTGTGGCTCCGATCTGTTTCAAATTAACCAGCTTCCCCCAGAGTGGAAGTGCAGCAATTAAACTTAGTTTGGATGCAGATACATACAAAGCTTATCAAAAAAGTTAATGAGAAATACTCTGAAAAGAGAGAGAATAGAAACTTAGGGACTGTATAATTCATGATTCCCACCAACTAAGACTGTTGGTCTGGCTTGAATTTGCAGATTCCTCCAAAACCAATAAAACTGGTAGGTGTCTTGTGTAGTGATCCATTAGCTATTTGTCACCTTTTAAACAGGTTTTGTAAGGAGTAAAGTGGCATAATTGCTTTTTACTAGAGCTAGATACACTTTACTCAACCTTTGTTGAAACAGTAAATTGTTTGCCAAATTCAGCAAAATAAATTGTCTTTCTTTTTTATTTTTTGCTTACAGAAACAGAAGTTAAAATTAACATCATCCTTGGTTCATGCAGCTTAATTTGTCCTGCATGATCAGTTTTTCTACACGCGAACTTCCAAACACTATGGTATTAATATACATAAGTCAAAATCTTTAATAAACATTTAGCTCCTCGTGTCAATTGCTGAGTCCTTTGTGATTTAAACAAATCTCCCCGGCTTGAGTATTCACACTTCCAATGAAAGTTGAGTCCGTCAGGCCTGATTGCAGATGATCAAATTTATCAAATTTAAAAAAGAAATCCAGCCTGGTCATCTACCATTGGACCGACTCCTTAACCACACAGGTTCACAAGATGGTTCATGGGGAATTGCCCATCTAGTCTGTATATGTTTGAGGACTTGGAGCAGGCTTACAACAATATCCTCAGGTTTTATCTTGTAGGGGATACTTGGGATACAAGCTATTCAGTCCATGTATATAAGCACAACATTTTCCAAGTTGGTGTCGGACTCTACCAGAGTTGTCCCTCGTGTGTTTGAAAGGACAGGACCTCAAGGTGCAGTCAGGAGAGGAGGAGACTGTACAGTTTGGGATGTCAGAATTGCAGCTCTAATTTTTGCAGATGATGTGGTTCTGTTGGCTTCTTTAACCACGACCTCTAGGGGGCATTAGGGCAGAGTATGAAGCCGTTGGGGTGAAAAGTTTGCCCCTTCAAGTGTTAGGCCATAGTTTTCTGCTGAAAAATGGTGAACTGCTTTGTAAGGGTTAGGAGAGACTCTCTGCCTCAAGCAAAACAGTTAAAGTGTCTTGTGAGGTTTTTATAAGAGAGAGTAAGTTGGATCCTGAGATTGACATAATGTGATGTCAGCATTGGAGGTAGAGACATTTTGCCAAACTATAGTGGTAAAAAAGAAGCTAAACTGCAAGGCAAAGCTGTCTGATTAACTGACAATCTGAGTTTCACCCTGACCTACAGTTTGATCTTGAACTTTGCATAGGGACCTAAAGAATGAAAAAGGAGACACAAGCGGCCAAAAGGAGGTTCCTCCTTAGGGTGGCTGGACTCAGGCCTCAGAGACGGAGATACTTTATTCATCCCTGGAGGAAATTTTCAGAAAGATAGAGACAGGGGGGGACCTGGAGACATTGTAAGGAGATCTAGAAGCAGGTTTGAGTAGAGCTTCTACTCAATTGCATTGAAGGGAGCCAGTTGATTTGGTTCAAGATTCTGGTAAGTATACCCTCTTTGCCCCTTCCTTGGCAGGTTTTTGTGGCACGTCCAACTAGAAGGAAGGTGGGTGGGGGGTGAGAGGGGTTGTAATATATTCCACCTGGCTCTTTTGAATCCCTTGGAGGAGATGAAAACATAGCTTGGGAGAGGGACGTCAAGGCCAACTTGCCAAGCCATGCTGCCACCAAAGAAAATGGATGGATTGCATTTTGGCGTTTTCTTTTTTCTCCCCCCCAAGTGCTGTGGTTAAGAGAGGTTTTGAAGTGTTCTCTTTCCTCTTACGGGTTGTAAGCCCAGTATGACAGCAGGCCATAAAGAAGAAACAAAGGTAACCCAGAATATGAAGGCTCATGCTATTAGACTCGCATTAGTGAACGTACAGTAGACCCTCCATCATTCGGCAGAGGACGTGGTCTTTCATTAGCTCCAGCAAAATGCTTCCATGCAATGGAACCAACCCATTACTCTTGTGATAAATAAAGAGTTACCCAGTACTTTTCGCTTCACCTTGACCCACCCTCTTGTTTCTGACTGACAGTCTGACTGTGTTATTGCTGGTTATATTAAAAGCTGTTTTTTGTCTGTTTTGCAGCTGACAGATGCTGGGAAGGCGGTCAAAGGCGGCATAGCTGTTGGAGACTTGGTCCTTTCTATCGACGGCATCGCCACCGAGGGCATGAACCACCTGGAGGCCCAGAACAAGATCAAGAGCTGCTCTGGCAACCTCAGCCTCACCCTGCAGAAGTAAGCCATGAGCTCATACTCGGTATACATGTGTGCAATTATAAAACAGAACCCCAGCCGTGGCTTTTGGACAGTGATTTAACGTGTGAATGTGACTGGGAAGCCATTTATCACCCCTGGAACCAAGATCCATGCACGCTCTTTCAAACACTTCCAAACAACCCATCTCTGCATTACATTTAAAGTCCATGGTTCCCCCTTTCAACCCCAGACATCCTGCACACAGGCAGATGTTCACTGTTGTTGTAGGAGTTAATCTTCGTTCGAACATGCAGCCACACCATTAGTTCTGCCTGATCTCCCATTCCCTGAGGGACACCCGTATAACTGAAATCACAGAGAGAGCATCACATATGTGGACCACCACTTCTTCCCCAAGGCCTACTCATCACTGTTTAAGACAATCCTGTTGTACAGAGGAGCTGATTTATCACAAGCAGTTGTCTTACTGTTGTGTGTTTGTGTGTGCGGCTTTAAATTGATTCTCATGTGGTTTGAATAGCCGGTTTCTTTGGCAGAACTTGTACCCGTAGGCTTGGTGAGTTTTTATTTTAAAAACTGCAAGATAACAAAAGAATGAACAGATGAGCAGTTTACAGGAAGGAGGTGAAATGAACAGATGTTGCTTCAAATGAAAATCCGAATTGGCTAATTTAATAATGAGCTCAAGGTTGTAGTTTTTCTGTTTTGTGTGTTTAGTTTCATCTCTGCTCCTGCATGTCTGGATTTCTCATTCTGCCGTGCGCAGAAGACTTTCAGCTTTCTTTCAGGGCTCCCCCTCATTTGAGGCTAACTGGGCATGTCCTCTAATCTATGTCCAAATGATGACAGAGTGAAGATGTTTGCTTTCGGTCGAGTGGCAGAGAACAAATACTGCAACACCACAGCGCTTATACTAACTCAAGGTCGGGTTTTTTTTTATGATGAGTGAAGCAGGTCTTAGAATAACGCTTGGCTGAAGGTCATCAATGGATGAATTACCTGTCAAAGCCGGAGTTTATATATTGATAAATTGTTTTGTTGTACAAAAGAAGGTCTAACATTGTGCTGGCTACAATGTGGAAGCTATCAGTCAGCGGAGGACTGAAACTGAAATGGTTTTTGCAGGGAGCAGCAGCAGTCATTTGAATCAAACTCTCTGGCTATTTTGATTGTGGTGTGCAGCTTCCCTGAGTGTGTGATATAATATTCCCAAAGGCCTCCCCAATTAGACTGTCCTAATTTATTAATAAAGCTAATCTTCATACTACAAGTTTTGCAGGACCTTTTTTGACCTCTTCAAGCTTTTAACTCTTCATGCATCTTGGTAGTTGGTGAAGTAGTGCCAGAAAATCCCACTCTGCTTTTCCATTGTCAAAGGAGCTGCCATGTTTGTTCCTGTTAGGGTGCGAGGGTGTGCTTGTTCGGCGGACTAGATAAAGGATTATCTGTTCTCCATCACTCTGTGTCTGTGGCAGACGTCGGACTCGAAAGCTTGATTCATGCCCCGTTGGCAACACATGAAACGGCTTTTTTCATTAAGTGGCAGTATTATAATATTAAGGCTGTGTGAGCAAGCGGCCATGTTGGAAACAGCTGGCTCCAGCTTCTGCTTTACTCAAATACTCTTGGGGTCCAGGAGATTGACAGTAATCCTTTCATATTCTCCAGACTCTATTTACTCTAATAAATAAGAGTTTTGAGGTTCCATTCTGTTTGTCTCTTGGCATGCTTTGCCACTGTGAGTGGGACATAATGTATATTTTAAGAGTGTCATGCCTAGGTCGACATCTGGACTTTAATGGGTTTGAATGCGTAATGGAAAGAACCATTCTTGTCCCCTTGTTTCTGTTCTGTTTTTATAGGCGTCGCTTGCTTCTCTTTTAATTGTTCCATTCTGCGCGCACGTTTCGATGGGGTTTGTCACTGGGTCAGATGGAGAGGAATGATAACAGTGAGGAGATACTGAGAAATGTTTACCACGCATGCAGTGTCTCTCTTTCTGTGTATCTTAAAAGGAGACAGGTTATTATTCTTTTTTACAAATAAAGGGAATGACGGGGGGAAGAGATGGACAGCAGATGTGTGAAGGACAAGAAAAGGAAACGCTGTAATTCTTTCTTTAAAATAAGATTAAGATTGGCATGAAGATGAATTTGTCCGAGCTATGTTTTAAAGATGATAAAGCAGATGTAAGGAATAATCATGGCATCGAAACCATCCATCTACATTGTGAAAACATTGGATCTGAAGCAGGATTAATTTACTGGAAAGTAAAGTAGTGGAAGTAATCCATTCATGTAAATACCACTGTTACCAAAGTAACCATCACACAAACAGTTTTATTAAGTTTGCTGTGAGACTTTCTTGATACAGTGGAAAACCAAAAGCAGTGCTGAAAATTGAAGGTAACAGGTGCCAGAACAACGTCAGTGTGTGATGTTTTTTTTTCCTCCCCCAAGTCTTTTACCCACTAATCAGCCCGTTTTTGAAAAGCGAAAACACAGATATCGAAGTCCAAATGAGCAACAAGAGATCCATGCAAGAGCAAAACAAACAAAAAAGACTCACTTTGAAAAGCAGCGGTTTTCAAGACACCTTTGATTTTTTCCGTTGGCTTCAGATTTTTTGGTTTGTTTTGGACGTCACCCTATCGACTGATTCCCATGTTTTTACTTCAAAACATTTACATCACAAAGGTTCTGTTATTAAAAACAGATTTTAAATTCGTCAGAGGCTTTTTTTTTTTATCAGCTTCTTTCATCCAGGAATGACTCTACTTTGATTCTTTTATTGATCTTTTTGACTGACAAGATTACAAAAATACTGAATAGCATTTTCAAGAGTTTCCATGTGTCTTGCTTCCCTTAGCTTCAGGTTGACCACTGATTAGTCCGTCCATATATCTCTGAACATTATGGTTTGGCCACAGCAGCCGGTGTCTGGAAATGAAGTGAGTAAATTGAAGTAAGTGGTTGTGAGTCTGTCATTATATCGCTGTATCACTGACGGACTGAGTGAGCGTTTCACCAGTACGCATACGGGTTGTCCCATTACAAGAAGAATTGATACCAATGATAACACAGCAATGAAATTAGAAGTCCTATAACAACCCACCATTGGGTAATTTCTTGTTTTAAATCACCAAAAATTGCAAGCAAACTTTTGCGATTCAAAATTTTAAAAACACTAAAACAATTCAAAATCACAGAGAAGAATCATTCGGACATTCCTTGGCATCTTTACTACCTCCTTCATATCCCAGATTTGGAGGACTCAAGTGAGATTTTTACCTGAATCCTGAAACCGTCTTGACAGGATGCATATTTTTAAAGTTGTACTCAAAACCTCCAACTGTTGGGTAATTATAACAACAGTTATCACAAGTAAACGCCAAGTTCAGTCACACATGTAAAACATGTAACTTAATTGTGAGACACTGAAACTTCCACCCTCCATTCGGACATGCTTTGGCATTTTAAGATCCCAGATTTGAAGTCCTGAATCCTGAATTTAGAAAGTGTCAGCTACTCTGCCCTCTCCGTCACTTTGTGAGAGACGTAAACGTAACATTAGTCAGGACCGCTTTGTCAAAAATAAATACTTTATTTGCAAATATATATAATTGGCGGTATGGCTCTGTTCGGGGATCTCCCTGCCCTTCTGCTCTTCCACATGCTTATGTGGAAAGCATTAGGCAGGAACAGCAAACATTCCTGTTCTTCCCATGTATACATGGAAAAGCTTTGGACATGGAGAGAAGCAACAAATACCAAAACAGAGTAGGCATCAATGACAAAAGACAAGACATTGATAAAGTCAGACACAGCACTAAAAGGGGAAGCTGGTTTGGACGAGGGTTGGAAATAAGGCTTGCAGAGGGAGCAGCAAATAGTTGAGCAGCTTGAATAAGGCGGAGTTAGTGCGATACGCCAATAGGATGCTATTCAAGCAAATCAGCTGATGAGGGCTTGCTTGAGATCAGCTGTTATCAAAACACTGTCAGGATAGCGGAGCGTGATGCTATGCTCAATATTGTAACTTAATGAGACGCATCAGTACTCGCAGACCTGCTGTGATTATGTACTGAACAACGCTGCTCTCTCACTTTGCTTGCAGCAGCTTTAGTTAACATGACTTTTTGATTCTTCTTAGTACTTTGTATAATTTCAAACATGAGGTATTGACAAGTATCAAAGTAGGATATCAAGAATGTTGACAACCTTAGTATTTTGTATTTAGCGTTATCCCTTTTTTTTACTTTACAGGAATCTGTGAAATACGTTTTATTGTCGGTGGTTCTTTTCTTGTTGTACAAGTGGGATAGCTAAGTGACTGGTCTGAATTGTTTGTTGTTTTTCTTATCATTTCACTCTTTCTCTGAGTTTTTATCCTCTCTTAGAATGCACTTTATATTGTCAGGCTAAGAATAGCTTTCAAAACACAATTTTTGCTTTGGGACCTTGCAGCTTTAACAGCTTTCAGATAAGCTTTGTCAGAGTGTGTGCAGCTCTCCTGATAAGAAATTGAGTTTGTTGAAAGAAGCAGGAGCAGGAAAGGATGCATGGATAGAAAAACAAAACAAACAGTGACCAAGATAGGAAGATGGAACTTACACCACAGATGAATGAAACACATATAAACCATGATAGAGACGGGTTCTCCAAGGCCGACCGTTTCGATCAACCTGCTGGACATCTGCAGATTCTATAAACCATGGATCAGCCTGCTGGTTGGCACCAGGCGAGAATGTTAAAACATCTCTGCTCCATGTTTAGATTCATAGATATCCATAAAGTTTTATTGTAATTCCTTATGCACAGCTGTCGAAAAAATGCAGTCGGGTTCCTGGGGAACTTTTTTTTCAGAGGATGGTTTTTCCGTTTTACTCTTCAATGTCAAACTGAATTCATTTTGATGAGACTGAGAAAAACAGCTCGTATCTTCTACTTTAAACATACTGTTTTACTGTGAGGGAGCTATCAGACACATGTGGAGCACATGTGTTCATAACTCACACA